GGACCGAGGTGAGCGTGGCACGAAGAGAGCGCAGCGCTGTGCTCCGCTGCCCTCACTAGAGGAGCCAAGCGCCAACCACGCTGAGTCAACGTGAGCGGCGTCAGGGTTCGGAACGCGCTGCTGACTCGGCAGCAAAACGAGCTTCCAGGCGGCGTTTTCCACGGGTGAAGTTTTGTTTCAGGCAGCGGTACCACTGCTCCTCCCAGAGATACAGCCTGTGGGCACTGGGGGCTGGTTTCAATGCTGTTAATTCCCCTAATGTTTTCCTTAACGGCTTGAGCTTTGTACCCGTGACTTTAACAGAACAGGCTGCGCTTGTTGTTGGAATGGCTTTGTCCGTGCAGTTCAGGAGGTCTCGGCGTTCTCCACTCCGTGAACGTGCTTTTCTCCCTATGGAACCGCAGTGCCCAAACAGCAGCTCGAAGTCTTGACCCCAGGAATGCTGCCTGTCCTCTTGTCTTAGCTCTCTTTGAAGCTGATGTTTCCAAAGGGCATACGCTGCCAAGATCCTCTTTCTTGTAATGCTTTGAGAGCTGTTAGGAAGCTTGCCTTTGTGTTTATCACATCCCTTTTGGCATTGTTCCGTGTTTAAGTTTTCTGCTATTCCTGTAATACCAGAAGTAGTTATTTTATGTGTGTGTGTTGACTGCAAAACAGATCATGAAAGCAAAGTTGAGGGATCAGAGGCTAATACAAATGCAAGGGGCTGTCTGAGATACAGGGATGATAAGTTAGACTGGATGTCTCCGTGATATTTTAGAGCTTTATTTCTCCACAAGATGGAAACCAAGACCCATCTCTAACCCAGTATGGTTTACGCTGAAGAACTGCGCTCTCAGTGCTGTATGGTACCAGCCATGGAGCAAAGCTTGAGAAGAGCAGTCACCTCCTTCCTTTCACCTTCTGGTACCCCTCCTTTGATCCTGTCACCACACTGGTTTATCAACACTACTATCCCAGGGCACTTCCAGTCAAATGGAAGGTTCTATGTGAGACCGCATGAAGAATGTTGGGGTTGTGTTCAGGGCAAGCAAGTCTATTATTTCCCTTGCCTCCATAATAAATTATTGCCTCACATTCTGCCTCTTACAAGTTAATACAAGTAACAAGTACTATCGACTCGCTGGTGACACTGAAATCAACTGCTTGCCACTTAAGGCAAAAGGCTTTCTTTGCGTCCATTCACAGCTTTTAATACAAATGTAAGATGAGATACATAAAATACATTTTAATGGAGAGATGTGTCAGCTGCCTGTGATGATCTGATTCCTTATTTGAAATAAACTGCAGGATTTCTGCAGTTTCTCCCTGTATTTTCCAGTTCTTTGGACTATGCTGCCATGTAGCTGTTTGCTGGCTTGTCCTGTAAACAACAATTCTGCCCAGCCTAGCTTGAAGTGCCTGGAATGTATGTGGAACACAATGAAACCCAATTATACATTGGGTACAAAAGGGAAAGTTCTTTTTGCTAGGACAAAAGAGTAAGTAAAACAAAAGAACTGAAACTCTATTTCTGCTGAATCTTTCTTCTTTTATCATTGAGTTGCTGAGCTGAAACATCATTATTAGCACTGAGGTGCTCCGTTATACCTGCCACAGCTCAGAATCATCAATCCCTGCTGTGCAAGGTTTTTGCGAGTTATACAAAAGTTGCCCTAAACCCTGCTCCTGCTACACTTAGAACACTGCACTGCACATTTCTTGGCCAAACAATCCTTCCCTGCACTCTGTTTTAAATCTGCATAGTGATTCCGGACTGCGGGGCTAAAGGATCATCACCCTGTCCAAAAAAGATCAGTGTGGTTTGGTGTGTTTTAGAAGCACTAAAGAGCTACCTTCTTTCTACACACACAGGGGATTGCCTAACGCTAGCACACAAGCTCTTTGGCCATGCCTGGTGACAACATTTGTCTTTATTTTGCAGTTCCAGGGGTTTAGATACAACAACCACATTCCTACCACTGCACGAATCACACATTCAGTACTAGATCACCCGCACACAACCAAAATCATGTCACAGTAAAGATTTCTGAAAGCAACACACAAAGGGGTCAAGCCTCCAGCACAATCGGCTCAAACTACACCAGTGTAGTTGTATTCTTCTCCAGAAGATTGTGCTTTTCTCCTTAGAACTATTACACTTCAAGACACAACAGAATTACAGAAGCATTCGCTAGTGTCATGATCAGCACACTGCAGCGCAGCGGGCAGATACTCAACTCCAGTGCCTGACATCAGAAAGTCTCCTCCTCAGCCAGAGGAGCTCATGGCCCTACAGTAAAGCTATAAAACTTGCCAGAATTTTCACCTTAAGACAACAAATTTCTCTTCAAATCCACTTAATTTACATTTACAGCCACAATTCACAGTCACTGTGTGGAGCTGGGATGCACAAAGGCACAACCATAAATGAAGGCGTACGGTTCACACAAGCAGTTCCTGCAGCAATTTCAGAGAAATACAAGCTCTGCATGTGGCAGAAGTTTTATCATTTTAGAGATGTTGGAAATACAAGAATATTTTTGATATTAAGTATGAAAAATTGTTCCTCCCTTCAAAGAATGATGCAACAGCACGTCTGGGTGATAACCCTAACAGGACAGCTTTGCCAGTTTTCATTTGCAGTTATGTTTTATTAATCAATCTATCTTCTTTCTTTTTTTGGTTGAATCTGAAACCAGAAAAACTATTCTCACACATGCACCCATCTAGCACAAAACTTAAGAAAAAATAACAAAATGCAGAAAGAAAATCTAATAATGTTGGCACTAATATTTACCAACACTCATTCTGGCTCCTGATATTTTTATCTTTCTGAGACAGTGCTGTTCCAAGTCTTACATGGCAGATTCTGCCTCCAACTAAGCATGCAGCAGCCAATTCCTCCTTCCCTTCATCCTGCAACAAACCTGCCACCAAGGAAGTTGATCAGAGTAAATCCAGACCTGGAGAGGTAAAACTACAGGGTACAGGGGAGAAGCTGCAGGACAACAGCCAGCTCTTGGTCTTCCAGATGCTAAGGGACAGCAAGGTGCCAAGCACAGCAGCACCCAAGCCCTTACTGGTGGCTGTGGGGCAGTGTGCAGGCAAGGGCATCCCCTGGAAGGGCTCTTGCTCCTTCACCCAGCACCAGCCAAGAGCATGTGTGGCTACAAGCTCTTCTCCTCCCAGCCTGGCAGCTTTGATTCCTCCATGTGCTCGTCCTCTGTTTAGAGGCTTGACACAAAATCCACTGCCCTTTTCTCTCTGCTCTCTGGAGAACCTCAGACTGTCAGACAGAAACACACTGCTTTCAGCTCCATCGTACAGAAAAGCTGAGGTCCATGTCTGGGGGACAGCAGCAGTGACTCAAAATACCTGGGCATACTCTTATTTTATAAGAGAACTTTTTCCCTCTGTTCTTTTAGATCTGATCCCTTCTAACTGGTTTTTATGCTTCCTGCTGTTCTTGACATAAAACCTCTTCCTGCAGTAGAGGAGTTTATAATTAAAAATGCAGCATTCTCTGTGGAAGTAACATCTGCAACACTAAACAATGCTTTTTCTCTTCAGTGTAACATTAACACTAGGTGCACTTACAACACTTAATCTGATTTTTTTTAAATTATTGGATGAAGAAATATATAATATTAACACTCCAGCACATTCAACAAAACATACCAGTTTCCTACAACAAAGACTTGTGCCTTTGGACTACGTGATAACGCACCACCACAAATGAAAAGGTAAAATGTAGTCAGGAAAGAAGGATGTAAGAAAGGTCACTAGCACGAGCAGTTCTGCTGCGAAGGGGGTGGGTTGTCTGTGAGCCGCATGCTCCTTCCAGAAGTGCCCCTGCAAGGGTCTGAATCTATACTCTCCGACATCTTCTCACAGATTATATCCACAAGGCGCTCAAACACCTGCCTTACGTTGATGTTTTCTTTGGCACTGGCTTCAAAATAGTCAAATCCTGTGGGAAAAAGTGGGGGAAAATATCAATAGAGAGTGATAATGGAGATGGGGTTTAAAATACTAAGAAATTTTTTATCAGAAATCAGACATCAGACAATTCTTAAGCTCAGTTGATTCCCACAGTCTCAGAATAGCAAGCAGAAATTTATCTAGCATCACTAAGAGTCAATAAATGGATCCTTACCATTGCCCTGGTAAACACATCTGCAGATGATATAGATCTGAATAAACCCAGGACAAGGGAGTTGAATTCTCCCCCTTAGGTCAGTGGGCTTTATCTTATCCTGGGCTGCAGCTGCTGCTCCCATACCACTAACTGGTAACACACAGAGGGGCCTTCCTGGGCTCCATGCACCCTCAAGGACCAGGCTTACTCTATGAACCACTACTGCAGGCTGTTGAGAGCAGAGACCAGAAAGAGAAGCAAGGTCGTGGCTGTTTTCCTTCTTCTGACCAACTTCTGCACTTGTGAGCAAAATGCTCCCTGACTTTGGTCTTGTTTTTTCCCATTCTTTGCCTGTTTACATGGAAAGCTCTTCCAGGTGATTGATACACTACACATCACGACAGAGCACCCATCCTGACAAAGGCTGTTCAGCACTGCTGAATTACAAATGACATTGTGTGCCTCCTACAGAGTGACTTCAGTGTCCAGTTGCCAGCTCCTTGCTGCTGTGTATTTATGGATTCTCAAACACTGACCCTTCCTGATAAAATCCCCCAAACCAGCAAGGCTGGAGTTATGCCCATGTGGGGATGTCACAGACAACAACTGCTGCCGCCTTTTGACACCCACAGCTATGCACAAACCAGCCTTCTCACAGCCTGAACCCTGCCTCTGCCAGCAGAAATGCACTGAACTGGGAAGCATTGCTTAATCCTCCAAAACCCAGGGACCTCAAAGGCCAACCATCACTTACAACGGCTGTTGCTTCTGTTCTACCAGGTTATTACATTGCCAACAGCAACAGCTCAAGCAGAACAGAGGGTTTATTTTGCAATAAGCTACATTGTGCTGTGCTTCATTTTGGGGATCTTGTGCATTGCACCAGTTTTCTTTGATTCTGTCACAAAGAAAGAGAAAGATAAGTCATCTTAACTGATCAGCCTGGCACTGCCGTGTGATAACAAGCAGGTATCTGCCCCACTCTAACACTTTTTAAAGATCATAGGACAAGGAGTGAGGTGATGGTGGAGATGTGTCCTTGTGAGTGATAGTTCCATCTGCCCCACCTCCTGTCTTTGGTGATGATTAAAAGCACGGGGAATCAGAGACCTAACTTAGGTATTTGTCTGTCCAACATTAGTTTAGCTTCTGCTGTGGCTGAATCTGTTTTGTTTAGTTTGTGTTCAGGCCAATAACAATTTATTAATCTGATTAGGAAATCATTTCAATGATGTTAATGTCACTATACAAATAAACACACTGACAGGTAACCTTTATGTGAATCAGTAAGATGAAAGCTAACAGTTTAAGCTTTAAGTCAATAGTCACTTAAAGAGATTCCTCCCACCTACCACACAAAGTAGTTTCAGATAATGCTGTACACATTAGCACAGGTAGTGTAAGGAAAAACTGACTGATAGATATTTTTCAGCCCTTTTGAAAAGAACATTTAGTATTTTGGGAGGCTACAGATGGGAGGACTGAGACAGGACTTCCCAGAGGCACAGTCAGGTTTTGTTTTGCTCTGCACTGGGGTATGTTTCTCCAGGGTGAGCTGGACAAGCACGAGGACAGGTCAGGAGCAGAACTGGGGATTCATCAGCAGAACAGTTTCCTAGTGATGGAATCAGTTGCTATGGTAACTCTGTGCTCGTGTCCATTCGGAGGTGTCCCACACGTAAAGGATTCAGATTCTAGATGCCAAGTTTGTATTTAAACAGATTTTGGGGGTAGAAAAAACATGAGAAGTCCAAATAGTAGTGGGAGTTCTGGTAAAACTCTCTATTTGCTGTTGTACTGTTCTGGACAAATTTTCAGCCACTAACAGTGTGATTACTCTCTCTTGCAAAACACATGGGCACACATGGCATTAACAATAGTTTTGAGAGTCTGCAAGCCAGGAACAGAATTCATTCAAATTCACATTTTCAAAAGCAAATTAAATCCTGATGTGTCAAAAAGAGCCCATAATGGATTTTGCAAACTAACCATGTCTTTGTTTGCTTTGCTAGTCCTACGTGTAAAGAACTATTATTACAATAATATTAATAATGGAAAATTAGAGGGTTTATTTTGATATTTGGTCACAAATAGAACCTCTTTGTGCTTAGCATATGTAGGATTTACACTTGAAGGCTCTAATCCTGCAGGTCTTTGCAGACACGCTTCTTTCTTTTTGCCTGTGGAACATGAAAGAATAACCTGATTGCTCCTAACTCTTTGGAAGAGTGACCATCTTCCTTTATATCACACAGGTTCCTGTCACAAAGCCATACTTTATATTCATCTATGAGCAGGGTTTCTATAGGTTCCCTTCATTAAAAAAACACCCAACCAACAACCAAAACCCAAACCAAACCAACAATAACAAGCCCCCCAACTAATAAATATTCATTATCTAAGATTTAACCATAACTGGCAATTTGATCAAGGTCACACACTAAACTTCAACAACGGATGCAGTGTGTACTGGAACTCCAGTACCCCCAGTTTAACAACATATTCTGTACCCTCCAGTTACTGCTCAGGAATTGAAGACAATGTAGGATTTCATAAATCGGAGATGATGGTGATTCCTTTGGGTCTGGTAAGAATCTCTGCTCTTACAAGCTAAACAAGTATTTACAGTGTGCCCTCTGTGAGGGTCTTGGCTGTTAACTGAATTAAATTTAACAAGATTTACTTGCCACTATGAATATTTAAGAGAAGATGACAGTACAGTTAAAGTACAGTTAACACAGAAGCCCCTATTCCATATTTAAAAGATCATCTATTCTATAATATATAACAAAAATGATAAATAAGATTAATTTCTTTTGCTGTTCATTCTAAAATTTGCATTGCAAATGGAACTGGTTTGCTTTTTCTATTCCACATCAGTAACCTAACATCTTTCTCCTACCTGGATAGAGAAGCATGGTATATTTTACTCAGCTCTACAGTTCTGATGCATAAACTTCTTTTTTTATGGTTTAGTTGCAAAAATTAATACATTTATTCTACAAAAATCAATGCTTGCATTCTGAAAATGCCTATGTGGTACTTGGAGACTTGAAGACAGAATTGTTATTTATGAAATCTTTTTCTCTTTTATTTCTGCTGAGCTAATAGAAACTGTTCACTCCAGACAAACTTTGGCTTCTTTACATCCTTAGAAACTAGCTTTATAGCTAGAGCAACACTACAAGCAGGTAGTATTCAGCACTAAGCAAGTAACCTATGGACCTAGAATATATTATGTTTCTTAGTTTTGACACCATCATTAAAGTATTGCTTCTGGAAGGACTTTTTATCATACACAGTATAAAGAAGCAAAGGGAAAAGAGTAGAAGGAAAAGCTGTGACATGTACCTAGCTGATCCGCCAGATTTTTCCCCTTCTCCACAGGAACAGTTCTCTCATCCTCCATGTCACATTTGTTTCCCACCAGGATCACTTGTGCATTGTCCCAGGAGTAAGTCTTGATTTGTGTGGCCCTACAGGAGGTTGAAACAGACTGTTATGTTCCACCAGCTGTGCAAAAATACAATCATATATTAAGTATGAAAACAAGTATCATTAGTGACAACATCAGTATCCCAAGACTGTGTTGGTTAAAAGACAAACGACCAAGCTTACACATAAAACAAGAATGCAAACTATGTCATTTATAGCACCATCCTATTTTACTACTCCTTAACTTCATGTGACAACAAAGTTTCTTGTTAAGGCTTTACAAGTGTTTTAAAGTCATAAGATCCAGACTTACTGAAAAGCTGAACTGAATAATTTCTGAAGTCTAGAGACAAAAAAAAAGCTTATTCTCCTCCAGCTGTAACCTGTCACGGGAGTTACAAACATTTACACATCTAAAGGATATTGTCCCTATAGAGAAAACCATACAAACAGATACACACTTCATGCTAGATTTACAACCTCTTATAAACCACATAACAACAATCATAGAATGGTTTGGGTTAGAAGGGACCTTAAAGCTCATCTAGTTCCAACCCCCTGCCACGGGCAGGGACGCTTTCCACTAGAGCAGGGAGCAGACAAATAAGATGCTCTTTTGCTACAGAGTTTTAGTAACACCCTAAGAAATCGTGTTATGAAAGTCAAACAGATGGAAGCATCAAGTCACCTTTGCTTGAACAGGAAAACTTGTTCATGGAGACTGAAATTGCATAGCAACATGGAAACATTTGCTAAAGAGAAACAGAAATGTACCACATCAGGAAGATAGGGGATGAAGGCAAGGCTCTGTGAGCTAGTATTTGAACCCAGCAGGATTAAGTGATACCTAAGGCAGGGAACAGCAGATGCAATGACAGACAGCAAGTATCAGACAAATGCTAACTTCAATGACAGAGGGATCAAGTGAGTGGAAGCTTAAGCAGGAGCACTGGGATGAACTTAAAGCCTCTAAAGCTCTCTGTGGCTCACCTGCTGAAACTGGAGCGGAGCTAGCTGTGCACCCCAGGAGTCCTGGCAGTGTTCAAGGCCAGGTTGCACAGAGCCTTGGGTGGCATGGTCTAGTGTGAGGTGTCCCTGCCCATGGCAGGGGGTTGGAACTGGATGATCTTAAGGTCCTTTCTAACCCAAACCATTCAGTGATTCTACAAGTCCGACCTTATATTTTGCCACTTCATAGTTTTTTCTATGACAAAACAGCAGATTTTTGTTCTGTTTATCCTGAGGGGCTGATCCTTTCCCACCATCCTTGCAGAGGTGTCACAGAGACAGCAACAGAACAGCATAGCTTGGCAGCATTCTATTTTTTCAGAGAGACCCAGCCTATTTTATCTTCACTAAGCCAGCTCTATCTTTTAAGCCTCCCTCCTTCCCAAAGGTAATTAGGCTGCTCTGCCAGAAGCAATTCATTCCTTCTCTCCTCCACTCCTCCTCCAGCCCCTAACTCGCCTTCCCACTCTTTGCCCCTGCTCATCACTCCTCCATACAGGATACAACAGCTTCAGGCGAACCCATTTCCCAGGAGAGCCAGGAGTCCCCCTCATATTTTTACTTCTCTTTAGTTTGCTTGAACTCCCTTAACGATAGAGCACTCGATTCCTTCTCTTTTAAATTAGCAGCAGCCTCCAGCTCTGATCTACTAATGATAGTTTTTAATTAGTTTGAGCTGCTGACTTGCCTTTGCCATGGGAAGCAGCCAGTCATGTTACTGCAGATATCTACGGAAAAGGGGGTCATCTCACCATGCAACTTGCCATTAAGCAGGAGCCGTTCTGGTTTGCACTGGAAAACATGAACCTAAACCCCACTGCACAAACCCAGACCCACAGTGCAGCATAAGGAATAAACCAAGACTTTGTGCAGTGAAACTCCTTACTTCTTCTTAGCATCCTCCTGGAAAGGCACTCACTCAATCCCAATTTTGGCTCCTCCGCTTTCACCCTTTTTTGAGTGCTTCCATGTAGACAAGCCCTGAGAGAGCTAATATGAGTCTGTGATGAGTTTATGCAGTACTCTGGGGTTTCTCAACCTGTACCCCTGCCTCACCACCCTCACAGGGAAGGACTTCTTCCTTACATCAAATTTGAACTTCCCCTGTTTAAGTTTGAGACTATGAACCCTTGTCATATCACTGTAGTCCCTGATGAAAAGTCCCTCTCCGGCATCCTATGGAGAAGAACACCTAAAAGAAACCCTAATCCTCACACCAAAAGAAAGGCAGCAAATTTCCAGAAACTTCTGGAAAGGTAAACAAACAAACAAGTAACAAGGCTTGTGCAATTAAGATGTTACAACAACTGTCAGGGCAGTCCAATATACACACTGGGAAAAGCGTATTTCCGTGACACAATACCAATGCTGTGCCTTATATCACCCAAACTGATGATAAAGGATGGGGTTTATGCTTCATGCTTAGAAGAAAAACAGTCTGAGGTTCACAGTTCCTTGGATATATCAACAACCTAATTTGGAGGTCAGACTGAACAATAAATAAAACTGATGATATGTGTGAACCCAACTGTCACTTAAATCAGAGTTATATTTAACCAATTTTTCCTTCCCTTCCATGAAATTGTACAAAGCAGAGTTTCCATAATATTTCCTATTTACTTGACAGTGTCAAATACTGAGTATATCCTAGTTTCAGAACAGTTTCAAATGAGGTATAAACCACTGATTTATCTACACACAAAACTATCAAGCCAGTGTCAAACAGTTACTGTCAAAGGAGCCTACTAAAAAAACACCTAGAAAGCCATTAAAACTCAGTTAACTATTTCACTCACCTACAGGAAATGCATCTTATTCAAACAAAATAATTACTTGCAAATATCAGGTAAAACCTACCTTTGCTTTTGCCCATTTATGCTTTTTCTTGTAAAATAACCTGACTGTACTCTTTGTCACTGCAGTAAGGAAAGTCACTCAGGCTTAATCTTTTAAGGCTTCTTATACAATCCGTTGTACCTTTACCACTGAAGGAGTAAGACAACAAGTCATGTCCTAAATATTCCCAAATGCATTTAAATTGTGATTTTACTCTTTCTTGGCTGCTTTAAGATAATTATTCGTGTGAATTAATAATGAATAATGATTCATGTGAATGAAAGAAAGACCATACTTCACAGTCAGATACTACCTGGAGAACTTGTCCAAATACCTGATACACAGCCGTGATCCTCCTCATTCAGGAGAAAGAATGCCTTTACTTGGTTGAAGAGAAGTATTTCTGGAGTGCCAGAAAGCAAACCAGAATCCTCTTTAGGGCATCCAACCATAAGAAAAGTGTGGTAAAAAGATCACCTAAGGAAGAAATCATAGCGCAGACCGGGAGAGAGAGTGTCACTTTCCTTGTGGGTAGGTGAGGCCAGGTCAGGAGGCTGTTAAAACAGCCACATGTCAGTGAGCCAGAGTAGGGAGGTAAAGTGCACCCCACAGTCATGGGAGGCAGTCTTAGCAGGGATGTTGGAGCTTTGTGAAAAGGGTAGGAGAATAATAAAGCACAACCTGCTATGGCAATTTGCCATCTAAAGGGAGGATGTAAGCTCTAAGATGCTGGAGTGATCTAGAGGGTAAAAGACTTCTTTGATAGAGATTTGACTTTGCACGAGGCTACCTTCCCATCATTTCAGTGTAATTATGAAGATGAATTTTGAGATCTATGCACACCCCTCTGAGTTCAACAGAAGTTAAGAATCTGACATGGCCAAGAGCTTACTTGGAGCGCTAGGTCTCTGGTTCAGCTGTGTGTTCATGCTTTTGGCTTGTTTGCTGCAGGGAACTCTGCAGGAAGAGATGGCACAAGAGAAAACAATGAGATGGGCTGAGACTCATGCTGGCAGCCTGCTTACACAGCACCTTAAAACCTGAATCAATAAACAGCAGTAGGCAGGGCACTAGCAGGAATTAACAGGCTCAAGGACTGGGGAATACCCTAGTGTAAAACACATAGGTGACTACTGTACACAACGTAACTCATTCCAAGGTTTTGTGAATGAATACAGTTTTAGGAATTACGTTCAGCCAATGAGAACAGACTGGGATGGACAGCAGCCAAAAGTTAGTAGAAGGGTCATCACTTCATATTTCATTAGCTGATGATCTTCTTGAGGTATCCTCCTAAGCATGATTGTATTTGCTCTATGAACCCAGCGCTGTGATCACAGGGCAAGTGGCTTACTTATCTTTTATGCCAGAGAAACACTCAAATTCCATCCATACATGCTATTTTAGGAATAACTGGGAAGGTTAACAGGTTCTTTTCTAGGTTTAATTTACATTAACTGAGTACTGCTGATTTATTCTTGGTGATTAAAAGGTCAGCCCATCTGCTGCATCATGCTGCATTTATGACAAATATTCAACTTCACAGTATTCTTCATCTACTGTAGCTGGACACTGAAGAATGCATCACTAGCCAGCTAGGATAGCAGGACACTTCAAAGAGAGAGAGGATGTGTAGGATTAATTACTGTCATTTCTGATATAAGAGGACCTGGAATAAGTTTGGCTCTTAGCTTCTGCACGTATCCCCACTTAACTTCAGGGAGGGCTGAAGTATGCTCTCAGAAATAGTGTGGTTTGTTGTAGCGTCACCTAAGGCTCTGCAAGCAGAGAGACAGCTCACTTTTCAAGTCACACCTTCCTTGCAAGGTAAAAAGCAGCTTACAACTGTGCCACTGTGGCTGTGTGCTTCCCCCCACCTCCAACCTGACTCTGCTCAAGTGATAACCACCAGTGGTGGTGGTGGTAATGGATGCGTCTGGTTGTGATGGCTACACCAGACTCAAAGTGGATTCAGGGGAGACAGATAACAAGTCAATAGACAAGGGATAACCTAAGCAATGTGAGCAGACACCCCTCCCCCCCAGCCTAGTGCTGGTAAAGGCTTGATTCAAGCAAAGTTTGGAAAAGAAACCCCCTAACTTCTGTAGTTGGTAAGCAGATATGCTGATGAGTCAATTGTCTTACTCTTATGGAGTAAGAGGCCCATCAAGCCCTCCTGCATGGCAATGGGCTGTACACCAATGTCTCCCCTTGAGCAGGGACACTTGCTCCTTGAGGTTGAGAGATTCCTTGCTGCAGCAGATTTTCAGTAAGTGATTAATAGCATGCTAAAGGTCGAAATGTGAGCTAAGTGATATAAGGGACTGATTGTGCATATATAATCCTTTAGACACAAACCATTGACCAAGTCTAGGACTAAGTCAGGATACAGGCACACCTAAACTCCTCTCTGAGGGGTTTAGCAAGCAAGGACTCAAGCTCAGGACTCAATGGGAGGGTCTCCTTGATGGTTTTGTCTGACCCTGTCCTCTATGCACTGAAGTGCCCTGGTTTTATTATTAGGCATGCTCCTGTCTTGCACTTGACCTGAAGAATGGACTAGGATCATGAAGACAAAGGCTCTGAGCTAAAGGAGCTAAAGTAGCAGACACCATAATTTTCCATGGAGAGTACACCTCCTGACTGAAGACCAGATCCAGTGTAATGGTTCTTTTTGAAGCATAACTGTATAACCCAGGATGGTGAAAACCACCCAGAAAATCCTACCTACTCGCTATGTCAGTAAATGGCAGAGGCTGATACAGCATTATTGGACAGAAGCTTTTGTTTCCATTTCTTGTCTCTTTGGAAGTTCAGAAAGCAGAGTGGGGAAAAAAACACCTCTGTTGTATCGCCACTAGAGGACTCTGCTGGCACAGCGATGCTACAGTTCTCATCTCTCCTATGGACAAGCTTCAGAAAGGAAGAAGGGCCACCCGATTTTATTCTGAGCCCCACTACATGATTTGGGCTCTGAATCTTTCAACTGGTTGGAAAGATTCCTGACATACACAGTACAAATAAACAGATGGTTCACCTCTGTCCTTTGGCTGACAAGGTGCTCTTAGAAAAGATATTTGTGCAACCCCGTGGCATGGGAAGATATGAAGTCAAATAGACAAAGCTGACCTTTCCTAATTCTTGCTCTTTCACCACTGCCTTGGATGGAACAGAGCTTAGACCACTTCCAATACTTCAGCTTAAACTTCACCTGTACAAACTTCAAAATAGCATCAGCTCAGAGATTGAGATTTGGTATTCTGGGCTATGTTAAGACTGGTAAGTAAAACTTACCAGAGCAGAACTGACAAACAGAGAGGCAGATGAACTGTGTGCTCATATATATCTTGTTTCACCAGGTAACCAAGCTGAAAACATTTAGTTTAGTGAAAGATATTGCCCTAGCTCACATGCCTGCACTCCTATGGAAAAGGTCCCCATGCAGACACATGAAGCAGAAAAAGCTTCATCTGAGCTTGGTGGGCAGAGTGCCACATAGAGGAGCCTGAGTTTGGCAAAACCTTTGGGTTTGTGTTTTCAGAAAGGAAAAGAATTATTCTTTTATCATTAGCTGGTGAAGCACAGCTCGGAAGGCGCTGCTGTTCACCTTCTGCAGCATGGTGTCATGATACTGGAGATGGGGTGAAAGTGGAGACTACACCCTTAGATGTGATGCTCAGGACCATCTGCTTTGGTAGACAGCAAGAATAAATAATGGGCAGGCTTGGGAGAAGGCCAAATTACTATAAACATCTAACCACACTATTGCAGCTTTTGAGTTACAACCTGGATTAGGGGATATAGAATAGGTGTTCAACAAAAAGCCAGACTGAGCTGGATGCTAAGAGCCAGTGCCATAGCCAATGTGTCACATGTGTCACAGAGATCATTGCAAATCAATCTATCAGATTTGGGAGATTACATTAACCGCTACATTGCCTTGTTTGCACATTGACCATATCTATCTGCAGAGTACAGCAACAGGGAAACAAGCAGAGATGAGTGCAAGATGTATGAGGGGAGCCAGAAGGGTACCACCCCTCTCCTACACAAACTCTGGTGTCGCTTTGTGAGGATGCCATGTCAGAACACAAGCTCCAGCAACAGGGTCCAGCCTTCCACTTATCCAGTCTGTGCCCCTGGCCACTGCCTCACAGCAGCAGCTCAGGTGTTTTCACCCAGGCACTGTGCTGGGTCCCATCAGCTACCACTGAGGAGGCTGCAGGCACTGCCCATGGGCACAGCAATGACGTGCTCTGGCTCTCCTCGTCCAGAAGGCGGGAGAGCAGGAAGGAGGAATCAGACCAGTGTGGAGTGAGGTGGGACACTTCTTCCCGAGGAAGAAAAGAGGTGACATAAACTACACGGGAGGGCTACAGGGGAGGAAGGGGAAGAGCACACCAAAATACTGGAGAGACCAGCCTGGGTACCAATGCAGCTTTGATACTGCCATGGACTTATAAAGCGACTGACCTGATGCTTTCTTCTTCCCCTGTGAGCCAAAAATATTTCCTGGCTTTCTGTTATCAGAAAGCCCAGAAATCATTTTCTGGTGTTTCTACCTGAATTCAGTGGAGCAAGATGAGCTTGCAGCAGCTGAGAATCCATTTCATACCTAGTTTTAGGGCTAAGCCCCCACCCTTACCATGTAATAGGTAACTCCTTCTCCCCCATCCCATTATTGCTCACTGAACACTGCCTTACTGAGCCGTTCAGGTGCTTTCTGTAGTCACTGGTAGCAGACAGGCCCCTTCCAAGGAGTGTGCTTGCTTTCTGTCCTAGACCTTGCTCTTCCTCCTCTTATTGCAGCTACAACTAATTTAAACTCCACAACTTTTAAATGGATAAAGTTAGATTTTTAATTCTCTCAAGCTAGGCAAGGTGAATAATGTTCCATGTGTCTACACTTGGAAATAAAACCCAAAAAAAACCCAAAACCCCAAACAAAACCAACAACCACCAAATCCTTTTTAAGGAAGTTTCGAAAGATTTAGCCTTATTAGATTTTAAATGAGATTTGGCTCTAACAACCACTATTATACTAGATTGTTTTAGCAGCATAGAAAACTTCCTAAACCCAAATAATGTATTAAAGGATTAATTTATTTAGAATAAATTAGAACTTTAAAAAGCAACTACTGCTATAGAGTGCTACTATGTATTAATTATAACTTTTTCATTAAAGTGAAGCTGTGGAACATTTTCTGCAGGAGAGTTTAAAACCCAAGTTATTCATCCCAGACTTCAGATGAAGAAGAAAGAATATGGTGATGCAAAGCACTGTGGAGAATGGGATGTCTGATGTTCCCAACAAACAGTTGTGAGGAGAGAACTGGCCAAAAAACAAACCCAAACCCAGCAATATTTCATACCAGTCCTGCACTGCATTGAAGGAGTCTTCACTGGTGATATCATACATGAGGACAAAGCCCATGGCTCCTCGGTAGTAGGCAGTAGTGATGGTCCTGTATCTTTCTTGTCCGGCTGTATCCTGGAACAGAAAGGAATATATAGGCTTTAAGACTCCAATTCTCAGAAACAGGAGTTGTAGTTAGGTCCTAAAATAAGGAAACCACTTCTTGTTGTTATACATTTTAAAACTCTCATTTGCTCCCATCTGAAACGAACTGTCCTTACATTTTAGCATTAATTAGGCTTTTGCATAAACCATGATTTGTTAAATGCATTTTGACACATGTTCTATTAAAAAAATGCCAAAGATGTCAACCCTTTAATTGCTCTTGTCTGCCTCGGCCTCAATGCAATAATAAAATGTTAGCAGAGTTCAGTGCAAGCTGACACTTCAAAGCAGAGGCAACAGAAAACAGCCCAGGACTGCAGCAGGCAAAAGGCATTTACATGTTGCAATCAGGAAAATGTCCTTGAGCAGATATTGCAGGTGACTCAGTTCTTACCTGAGGTTAGAGACAACAATTAAAGACTTGGTGCAAAGGAAATGATTCTACAAAGTGAATTTAACGTGGAACATCCCACTCGTGATGTCTGAGGAGTGTGTATTAATCTGAGCTGTACTAACAGGTTCCACTTAATTCTCTTTGTCTGTAGAGTGCTGCAGAATGCCTCTACCTGCGGTTGTCATTTCTACGTTCAGCCTGGCAGCACAAAGGTGAAACTGTGACATATATAACAGAAGAATTTCAAAAGGCTTGTGACAGCTGGAAAACATGTCAAATACCATCTGTCAGATGGCAACAACATTTATTCCTCGCGTTTTAGCTGCCTGCTCTTAAACTGAGGAGTGTTTCTACATCAGATCAACAGTTCTGCAGCCAATCCGTTCCCTTTGGACCTGCCTTCTGAAGCAAGAAGAGTTTTGTGCTTAACGTATCTCTCATTCAGGAGATATCTATTATTTGAACAAATACATTTCATCTATCTTTTGACAAATGGCAACTCTGTGAAAGAGCTGCAGGGAGGCAAAAGGCCTTACTTTCAAAGCTCAAGTTCAACATAAGGTGTTGACTGACAGTTGCTCTTAGGGGTTAGCAGTTCTGAAATGAATGCTCCTTTAGTTCTCTCAAAACCCACACGTAAGAAAGCATTTACTGCCACTGGTCTAAAATGTGGTGATTAAGATTTCTCTTCTTTAGAGGAAAAGGCCCTGAAGGACTTATCAATCACATAGCTAGTTGGAAGAGTAAAATAAATCCATGTAAAGCACTCTTGCTGGAGTATTGAGACAGCTTCTGATCAGACACAGCACATCACCACAGCCCCAGAAAATGTGCAGTGGGTCAGAAACTACTCAGCTTTAAAATCCTCCTGTTCATCATTCCCATACATGCAGCTTTGTTTTTGCTGCACGCAGGAGACAGTGTCAGCCCTTCCAGCACACATGCCAGCCAGCCTGTGAAAGGGGAAAACAACAGCGATCGCCTGTTGTTCTGCACCAGAATATCACAGAGGCTCTCTGTAGGAGGAAAGTGCTTGTAAATAAGCTCCCTGCAGCTTGCTTTAAAGACTCTGCCTATTGCACTACTGTGAGACCATCCACAGCTGTAACACACTGCGAATTTCCCAGGGAGCAATCTTGCTGTTTCTCCACCAATCCTCTGCAAAAAAGGAGGGATTTTTCCTTGAAACTTGTGCATTTATGTCAAGACAGGGTGGTCCATTGGCTGATCATGGCAAGGCATCACATGCTGGCTGAGAAATAGTTCTGTTCCCTCCTGACAAGAAGTACCAGAATGAGGTGGACCTCACCTTGCAGCCCAAGTGACCATTTCTTCTCCTGCCATGATAAATCCACCACAGAGCACACTCATATTCATTGACACCACATCCTTGCTTAGCCTCTGAACAGCTAAACCAGCCATGACAACTAGATCCTAACTATAATTCTTCAAGTGGGGAAGGGCTCAGTGGCAATCGTATTGCTCTATTTATTCAGACATGATAGTTGCTTTATTGCAGCCCAATTTCCCAAAGACACAAGGCTTATTGAATCATCAGTCTCCACACATGCATGTGTATATGCTCGTAATATTTGACTGAAGGGAAACACTCTCAAAGGTACATTCTTACAAATGTCATGAAAATAGCTGGTAAGGTGAAGAGAGACTTCAAGCAACCCTTAGCAAGCTGGGGAAAAAAGCTTATTCAATGCTTATCTTTTTTCAGCACCAAAGGATCCATAGGAGAGAGGCTTTCTTCATGCCGCATTAGGACAAAGACCTAAATCAGCATTAGTAACTCCTGAGATCCTGCAACCAACAAAAAGAAACAAACCCACAGGAAGTCAGGCTTCTTCAGTTCTCATGCTCACAGCATTATTGTTTTACACCTACATTGCCAGTATCTTCTACCTCCCAAATCTCATCTTCTGTTTTCTGCTCTGTGTTTAACTAGCACTCAGTTTGGCTTAGGGCATGGGGCTGTGACCACACAATAAGCAACAGCAAGACACATTGCCTAGCTACCTGCAGAATAATTTGGAAAGAAATTAACTTTGACAATGGTTGTGAGCAAGGAGTTAGCTGTGAGGATGTACATCCAGGCTGTTCTGGGCAGCAGCCCCAAGGGGCTCACAGAGTGGCTTCCAAAACGTGTGGGATAAGTCCAGTGCCTCAGCTCAGCGAGGATCAGGACTCAGCCTACAGAGTCAATCTGTGTTAATGCAAACTGTGCTATTGCCAGATAGCTCTGAAATGCAGTAATTCTGGTTTGCTGATTTCAGTATTCTGCCTACAAACCCCCTGTGCAGGGAGGGGGGCCCCAATTTATACATTAGAAAGGGACGTGGCTGCAGGAGGTGCAGAACCCCAAAGGGCTCCATGCGCTTCTTTAGTCATAACCTGTTCTCTGGTGGACAATGCACTTACCTCATTAGGAAGATTGTTTGCATATTCATCAGTATATGCTTAGATGCCTGCCTTCTCAGGTTATCAAAGGCAGTGTGTGTGTGGGGAAAGGCATCCTACATTTCATGGTATGTGAAGTTTATTCATAACCTTGCCCTGGTGGCTATGCGGTAGTGCAGAAATGCGATTCATCCCTATGTGAGTCTCTGCTGGATTCTTGTCTCTGTTTCACTGTACAGGTGCAGAGCATGTCATCCCTCCTTGAATGTTTTTAGTTGCATTTCTCCAAATCCATTTGAATCTTTGTAATATCACCCTGAAGTGATTTTTATCCCCTCAGGTTATGTTAGCTTCTTAGAGAGCTATGAACTGGCTTAATTTTCTTGACTCACACCATGTTCTATACTAGCTTCAGTGACCATCCCCTACCCCCAGATACTTCAACACAAACACAATTAAACAAACTGCAAAATCCGAGCTCAGTTTCTTCAGCATGTATATTAGCTGTCCTTACAGAGTTGGAAACACCACAAACCTTTGGTAATTAGGCATTTCAGGGGGTTTTGTGCAAGACATTTATCTAACAAAGGAGAAAATAACTGACGCAGATTGCTTCCCTGCTCTCCCAAGCCGCTTGCAAGATTTCCAGGTAGACCACAAACTCATTAGAAGACAAGTAGATGAGGCACAGGCAGGGATCAGCAGAAACCTGGGGTAGCTCTAATTAACAGTCTAGCCAAATGCCTAGGAAGAAAAGCCTGAGCCTTCAGCCTGTTCGGCTGTCCCTTAAGAGGAATCAGAAAGCCTGGCTGTAACCAAGCATGGAAGGGTCTCAGTGTATTTACACCAATGTGCTAACAACTCTGTTCTTCTGTAGCTCACGTATGTGCCTGTCCCTGGTACAAACTGTTAAAAAACCCACAAGACCATTAGTTGGTAGCTTGAAACAAAAATCTGAAGGTTTTGCATTAATGAGCAATCATAATTCAGTGTTTATCAGAGGAGAAAAAGAACTAAATGCATTTGCATCATGTGCAGACGCCCGCTACTCACAAGATCCATCACGTAAACATCCACAATAGGAGCATGACCAGGTTTACTTAAATGTACTTGACGGGCTCAGCACAAACAGCAAGGTACTTGCACAGGAAATTGAGTTTTTAACTCATGACAGATGCTCTTTGCTGCAGGTCTGAAAAGCCAGAATCCCTGATTCTGAACTATTGTTCTAGTGAAGATTTCCAGCCACAAGTTCTTTGTTCCAAATAAAATGTCACTGAAACTTCCCATCTGTACTGGATTTAATCCCCTCGTGACTGCTGTAGCAGTGCACGCGACAAACAGCCTCTAAAGAAATAAATCTTTTGATTTATTTTTTAAAGGATTATGGTTTGATTTTTTTTTTGTTTGTTTCGTTTGGAGTTTGAGGGTTTGTTTTTAAGAAGAATAATAAGTAAGAATAAGAGTTACCCATTGTCCAGCTGGTTGGCAACAATTACAAGATGCTCGTACTTAGCATTGTCCTTGCTTAGGCTGCTCAGAGTCTTTATAAAGGCTACATCAACTCCAATTAACCAAGCACCAACCACAGTGTCAGGGCTTCATCAGCTATGGTGAAGGAGGGACCTCTTCTTCCCTGCTGCTCAGTGTCACATTGTGACACCTACACTATAGCTCTTTGTTCGGAGTTTGGTCAGCCTTGGGGACTGGATAATCAACTTCATGGCCCCTATAACTTCGTGGTTATAGGGGCAGCAAGTTATTAGACATCAAAGTGCCAGGAGACATCTGACTACCTGCAAACACAGCTCAGTTCTCAGCAAGGCTGGCCACCTCAGCTCCTGCTCTCTCAATGACAGATAACCTAAATAGGGAAAAAATAAAGACACATCCTGAAGGCAGAAGGCTGTTTGTCCTGCTACAGGCCAGTCTGGGGCTCAGTAACAACTGACCCTTTTATGTCCAAAACCTGTTTACTTTCCCTTCTGCATGGATGAGGAAACATTAATGCTCACATGCAGCCTTCTCTGCTGCTGCCCTGTTCTGTCTCTAGCTGCTCAAAGCAGCACTTCCTTGCACTTCTGGACTGTTGCAATGCAAAAGAGTTGAATTTCTCATGATCTTCAGCAATTCTAGTTGCTTTGGTCAACATTTCTGATGTCTGCTGTGA